GGGCAGAACGCTGCAGGGCAGGGCTGCTCTCCAGTGCTGAGAGAACAGAGTCTATGTAAGAGGCTTGTAGCCGTCTGGGTGAAATTCTTGTTTTCATATCGACGAGCTATGGTGTCATTTTTAGAACAAGCCATTTAGCGCCTTCTGCAGACTTCTCCTGGGATAGCTCCAACATACGTTCACCTCATTGGGCTGAAACTTTCACCCATGTTTAGTGTGGGCATCCATTACTGTAACACTATATGAGAGATTTAAAGAGGGGACCAGCATCATATGTCGACTTTAAATAACCCGAGCAGCAAACCGTAGTGTGTTATTTATGTTTACTGTGATGTAATTTCTGAGAAGCTTTAAATGCTTCATGCTCCTACAATCTTACATCCTAAGATAAAACTAAAACCTAAACTAAAATATGTACATCATCAGAAACAAATGAACAGGGTAAAGACTACAAAGATGGAGGTCTTGTCTTTCAGTTTCAGAAAGATTGAAGGCTTTGGTTGTTGCAGTTTGTATTTGAGCTCGACTTAAAAAGGATCAGGAGAGATTAGAAGGTGTCGTCTGTTTTTAAAGGGATTAACTAACATGGAGGGAACACATGTCAGATCACAGTGTGCCGTTTACCTGTTGATATGACGTGGTGTACACCATGACGTTCTGCTGCTGGCCGTCTGCGGTGATAATCCCAGCGGGCAGAGGAGTGGCTGATCAAAGAACAGAGATGATTTTAGAACGAGAGCATAAAGATCAGAACCTGAGTGTCAATAAAAAAAACAATGTTTCCCACACATTCAGACTTACTGAAACTGTCTTCTGTCAGCTCGTCCCCCAGACCGTCTCCCACTGACACCCCGGGGATCCCCTTCTCCCCCTTCATGGCCTAAAAAAAAAAAACACCACAGAGGAAGAAAACACAGCACATTTGAGCACAACTAACTCAACAAGAACATGGGAGTTTACAAAACGTCGATTAGACCTTTTGTCTCACCTCTCTGAACTTCTGCAGGTAAAGCTTCAGCGGCTCCACGTACATGTCGAAGCCCAGCGTGGACATGGCGAACAGGATGTCCTCCCCGTTGATGGTCTTCCTCTTCTCCTGGTGGCAGCGCTCGCTCGCCTCCGACGTGATGAAGCTGATGAACTCGCTCACACACTCCTGCACACACTCCTTGGCGTCCTTCGCGATCTGAGGGAGACAAAGGAACAAATTACAGAGAGGAAGAAATTACGTTTAAAGATTTAAAAAAAAAAAAAAATACAGATACTGAAATCAACAAACAGGGTTAAAATTCTGGATGATGAGGAGGCGTACAGAGAATATTCTTCAGGGGATCGAGCTACTCCTGGTTTATGTCACATGTCGGAGGCAAATGTGAAGATATAAACAGCTAGTGGGCGTTCACACTGAACTAATTCTACATTTAGAGAATTATTTTTGTATTTTTAAACTTTTGGCACTTTGTTTTCTTACATATCTTGTCGTCTAAATAACTATCAGGTAGAAAAGGTTCTGCATATCCGTTGCGTCAGCTACAGCTGCTGTCTGACGCAACAGGCTGCAAAGGCTGAAACATAACCCCTGCAGGCACACTTTTTCAAAACAGCCGCTCCCGCCTTGATCTGCCAGTTTGTTTGTGCTGTGCGGTTTTAGATGTTAAGTTAGAATCCAGCAAGCGCACAGATAAAACACAACAAACCACCAAGCAGTGGATCAACGGATACCCTCTGCTGTGGAGAAGAATTACCGGTTTTGCTGGTGGCGTTCTGCATGCTTTGAAGGGAGCGCTGTGATGAATGTTTCTGGTTTAAAAACTCAAATATTTTCTCTTCAACACAATCGTTTCTTTTAATGGATCCTTTCTGGGATTTTGTCGACAATAAGCGAACAACCCGGGGATGTCAGCAGCAAAAACAAACTGTCAGTGACTGACGTCGTTCAGCGCAGAATAAATATGCAGACAAAATGCCAGAACTACCCTTTAAATATTCAAAACTAATCCTTCGAGTAATGCCGCTCCTTTGGTCATCTCTCTTACTAACCTTTCCGGTCTGAGGAACGGCGTTCTTCATGATGCGAGCCACGTTGGCGATAGGAAGGTAGATGTCCTGCTCCCTGAAGTTCTCCTTTATGCCTCCATCGTCTGGGTCGTTCAGACTCTCATCTGCGTCATCTGCAGAACACAAACAAACACACAGGTTAAGCTTGAAGCAGCTCTGATGATGGCGAGTATGTGACGATCAACACTGAAGCTGCTCCTCACCATCTTGAGACTGCAGGACGTAATGACTGGAGGCCATGTACTCTCCAGTGATGCCCAGCTGGGAGGCGTCGGTGGTTGAGCTGTCTCCGTCCATCTGTCACACACACACACACACACACGTCTTAATACCTCAAAGTTTGAGCAGTATTCCTGCAGAGCCTCACCGTACCAATTATTTTAAATACAGGAAAGGGAAGCACATCTTTAGAAATCCTACACACTCAAACACTCATCGAGGAATGGGACAAACTGTTTTACTGAACTTCAAATGCCGACCAGATCATTTAAAGCACGGTGGAATACAACTTATAACAATAATCGGTGCATCTCCGAGATCAAATTGGCCGATAGTCACTGGGACTTCAACTAACGACTATTTTGAGAGTCGACTAGTCATTGATTGTTTGGATTGTGAAGATGGATGTCAGAGATGATCTTTAAAGGAGAGATGTCCATGGTGCCTTCTCTTCTAATGCAAGTGTAACCCCTCACTTCTGGTTCTGTCTCATAACAGTTATCTAATAACCCTGTTACACAAGGCTTGCTTTATCAATCCCGCAGGCGATCCTTTTCTTATACGAGGTTAAATGATGTGGGTGGTAGAGCGAGTGAGGAGAGGGACTGTAACAGTGAGAGAGTGTGTGTGTGTGTTTGTGTGTGTTACGTTGTTGTCATGACTGAAGAAGTAGAGTGAGAGCGATCGGTAGCTGTAAGAAATAGCAGGACAAGCGTAGCCTACAGTTTTTAAGACGTGTGCGCAAACACAAACGTCACAACTTCTACCTGTGCCTCGCTTGCTGCTGACGAGTTAAAGTGACGGGGGTCAGCCCTGAAGTCATCTCCAACTTCAGGGCTGACCCCCGCGCATGTCAACTCTGACAAAAAAAAAATTATGAATTCTGAAATGTAAACACAACACATTAAAAAGGCTGTAGCTATCAAGAATATTTACAATAACCAGACAAGTTGCATTCACTTGCAGAAAACGTATGGGAACTGCTTAAAAGCTGTATTCAGGATCATCTGTCCAAGTGAGAAAAGCTTGTTGTAAAGAGCTTAAAACATAGAAGTATGTAGTTGGTTGTATGTGGGTGTATATATATATATATAAAATGTTGTTGTGTGTTGTGTCTTGGGATATTAATGTATAAATGTCTCATGTGATCCTCACTTCACTCTTGAATATTGTAAACTAAGTCCTCGGTCATTTTGTTATTTTGGTTAATCAAGGATAGTAAGTGAGACTCTGTGATGGAAAGCATGAAATTAAAAAAAGATAAAAACAGTAGCATGGCATTTATGTATTTACCAGAGCTCAAATAAAGCATATAGAATTAATAAAAGCTGACACTAGAAGTGAGAAATATATTTATAGACAGAGAAAGTGGACAGAAAGAGAAGTCAAAATACATTTCAGGCTTGTAAAAGCTGTAAAAAAAAACATGTAGAAAATAAACAAATATTAAAAGAGCAACAGTATAGTTCAATGTATTTTGTACACTGATGACTGGTGAAGCTTAATGTGACAAAGAGCTTGATTTGCTTACAGTTTAACACACGTGTTTTGCTTTGTTTTTCGGGGTAAATGTAAAGAACTGGCAACCCCAGCTGACCTCGTTACCCATGAGCTCACTGACTTTCTGTTCTCGTTATGGAGCCACATTCAAATGTTTCCACTAGTGTTTTAATTGTGTTTCTTTTGAGAGGTTGAGAACGAAGGCCATGTCGAGCCACACACCTGATTTACAATTACACTTATTAAGTCACCGTGGTGTGAGCTAGTCTTGGTGTTGGTGTGGTTTACATTATAGTCACACACACACACACACAGTGCTAGTTAGCCAGCTGTTACCCTGCGGTGAGGTCACCAGCTAAACATGCTAACGTAAGCTAACGTTAAACCCACAAAGGGCGCTAGCACGCTCGGTGTATTACTGATACTGATTAATTCACGGTGATGGACTGAAGCTGTCCAGTCGGCTTTACCTCCTGGAGATGAACTATTCAGGCACATAGTGTCCCTTGAACACATTTTCATCGTAAATCCAGAGTAAGTGGCGCCCACGGAGCCCGCGCTGGCCTGTTTCTTTGTCGTGCGGAGCCGAGAGAGACGTGGCCGGGCCGAAATGTGAAATAATAATTTGTAAAGTTTCGCCCGCTGGATACTTCCTGATGAGCAGCCCTCATTCACTCAGACAACAAATAAAAAATCAGACAGAGACGGACATTTCCATTCGAGCTAACGAGAAATCGGTTAGCAATCATTGGCCGGAGCCAGGCACAAACCTGCAATGAAGCCCTGGTTGGTTACCTTCCTGAGACGGCTGTTTGGTTGGACAGAAAATGGCTGCGAAAGGACCAGTCCCAGCGCGGAGCCGCGGCTGCAGTACCGCACACGACCAGTAGGGGCTGCGGTGCGTTCAGGCTCTCATTTCGAGCTCCTACATCACAGCTTCCCTCCAAATGCAGCAACAAAAAAAAAAAAAAAGCAAAATGTTCCGCCACTGTTTGCTTTTCAATACCGATTGTGTGGCCAGTTAAGTATAGTTATTTGTTGAGGTCGTTTAAAATCTTTTGATGTGTATACTAAAGATTTAAATGTTGGATTCACTGAATACGATCGTTACAAATGTTTAGTATTCCTATTTTAATCGTAGCTCTGGAACGCATCTCTTCAAGCCTACATTCTCCTGCAAATGTTTGCTTTGTAGAAAACTTCTCATGCTGTTTTTCCACACGTGTCTTTGGGAACAATTACCCCTGAAATCGCCCGAAGTATTGCATCGAGTCCAGTCGGAGCTGTTTTAACTAACTGAGGCGAGTTGTGTTTAGAAAATTGTTCGTGCAGGTGCAAACATTTCACCTAAGTATTGATTATGACCAAAATACGGTAGGCCGTGTTATTCAGAAGACATGAACACACTTTCCTGTCAGCACATGTGAACGCCCATTAACAACTGTGTCCAATTTGTAGGTTTGAAATACTTGATAATGTTTACTGTCTTTTCTTCATATTGTACGCGTGTTCCCTAAATGCAGCAGCTGTTTAAAATCAGCTTGATAGTTTCGGGTGTCACCACAAGATGTCAGCCTTTTACCGTGCAAACAGAAGGACACCCTCAAGTCTCGCGAGAGGGAGTTATGTACTGAATACCAGCACTGCTGTGATTCGGTCTGAAGGTTTTAGTGCTGATATTCAGTACAACATCTCCACCTCGAGTGTGGATATTACTTTTATACAACAGCTAGACAAGCAGAAAATAGTGATAAAATGTAAAAAAAAAAAAAAAACACGGATTATTTTTTAACTTCACCGCAATTTATCTGGAACTAGGCTGTTGCTAAGCAACCCAAACATTCGATTCTACTGCACTCACGTCCTCTGTTGGTGTCCATGGTTACCACGGAGCCGAGTATGAACTTGTACTTGTATGATAAAATCATTTCATGAAACCACCGCAGTCCTTTGTGTGATTCTGAGGAATAAGATTGACGAGCAAAGAAAAACTCTGTCAGCTTCAAATGGTAATAAAAAGTATCACGATCTCCTGAAAATTCCCAGTGATGTCACTCATGGACTGGCTCTTGTCCAATCAGATTGCTTGGTCGGAACTCACTGTTGTATCATTTCAGTTATCATAAACACATATGTATTAAAAACTCTTTTACACTACTTTTGTTGCTTATATACATGTTTCTATTTTACCTTTATGAATCTACCTGCTAGTAACTGATATACAGTATTTATTAAACGTAAATCATGATGGAACATTTCTGTAAAATCTCAGTCGGCCTATTTCATGTCATGTCGATTTTTCATTTTCTAGATAATCTTGAATTTGTTGTCAATACAGCACTTGTTTTTCACATGCACTTAAAGCACTTGGAGATGTTTCATCTGTGATAATATATTTTAAATTTTTACAATCTGTCCTAAAGTCTGAACACATCCCATTCCGACTAGCACACAAATAAAACCTATTATAATCATTTTTTTTTAACTTGCACATTCTTTTTCAAGACTTTCAATGCAGTTGTGAGGTCAAAAAGTGGTCAAATATTCATTCAGTCGATAAACTCTGCCTCAGTTGACGTCATTTGGTGATATCAAGCCTGCAGTCAGGCGCTCAGGGCCAAAGTCCGTCCTCACTCAGGGTGTTTATGTCTTTCCCTTTCAGGGCTGTGCTTCAGGATAACGGCAGAGGAAACTTCACTCTGTGTCTGGACCTGCAGCAGTGAAACATGGAGCCACCAGCGGGGCCCTCACTGGGGCCTTATGACTACGACCTGCTGGTCATTGGCGGCGGGTCAGGAGGCCTGGCTGTGGCGAAGGTCAGCTCAGTTCTCACCGCACAGCGCGGTCACTCACAGAGTATTTGCAGGCCGTGGATTTGACTTCTGATTGTGCTGCTATTTAAGCTTTCTTTGTTTCCTTTGTTTGGTCGCATGGTGCATTCATGTGGCGTCGGACACATCGGAAAAACGACTTTCCAAGTTGTAAAATTTACATGAGGGCCTGCTCAACCAAACTCGAGAGGCAAAGAATTAGGGGCCCGACTTTACGTAATAATCGTCACCACATGGGGGGGAAAATACGTTTAGCTAATGTTAAGATACTTTGTATTAATTCACATATTAAACATAAACTTTTTGCTCAAATATAATACATAAGGAGCAAAACATAACAAATAATCAACAGAGGTAAAATCACATAATGGCATAATGGCGCCTACAGCATCCAGCTGTGACTGCTGTTTCTTTACCCGTTGCTAATCTGGTGAATGAACGCACACTTGAACAGATCACGGCTCAGGTCATTACCATATTAATGAGCTGAATGCTGATAGGCTGATCTGTGAGCAGCTCTACAGTCGATAGGGGACGTGAGCTGAAGGGGGGGCAGGAGCTGCGATTGTTGAGGAGGACAAATGCTAAACCCGTTTCAATATTTAATTACTCTCTCTTCCTCGCTTGCTGGCTGACTCGGTGGCTCTCATTTATTCTGTTTTTTTTTTTTTTTGTCAGGAAGCTGCAGGCTTGAGGAGGAAGGTGCTGATCCTTGACCTCGGCGCTCCCTCTCTGAGAGGCGCCAAGAGAGGTGAGAGTTTAATACTCAGAGTTTGAAGAGTCGACGGGGCAATTTTTATAAATCATCTCTTCTTCTGCAGCAGTACAGACGTGTCAGCCTTTAAACTCTGTGTTCCTGCTTTAAATGTGAAGAATAAATTGAATTTAAATCCTGGATTCTCTTATCTTCCAGCTTCTTATTTAGCCTTTCCTGTCATTTGTGCAATTCACTTTCGACATCTTCATTCTTAAGTCTGTTAGGAACAATTTTCTCCTCTCCTTTGCTTCCTCTTCTTGACCTTTTCTTGACCCGCCTCCCCTAACCTAATCCTTCCCTCCCCCCTTTTCATTCCTTACCTTTCCGATTGTTTCTTTTCCTCGTCTTACTTCACTGTACCCTTCCTTTCCTTTTCTTTCTTTCTGTCATTCTTTTGTCTCCACTCCTCTCCACTCCTCTCCTCTCCTCTTCTTCCCTTTTGTTCCCACATCTTACCTTTCCTTTTCTTAAATTCTTTTCCTTACCTTTACATTCCCCTTCTTTTGTTCATTTTCTTACTAAACCCCTCCTCATTTTTATTCCTTTCCTTTTCTTCTCCTTTGAAGAACTTTCTTTCCTTTCCTCTTCTTCTTCCTCTCCTCTCCTTAATTGACCTAACATTATCTTGCCTAACATTTATTTTTCTTTGCCTTCCAATTATATTCTATAACGACTTTTCTCCTTCTTACCTCTTTTTTACATTTTCTGTCTCCTTTTTCCATCCTTCAGTCCTCGGAGGTTCCACTCTCAATGTCGACAGCGTCAGGAAGTTTCTACAACATTCGTCTCTCCTGGGAAAAGCCCTTCAAGACTCTGAGAATTATGGCTGGAAGTTGAAAGACCACGGTAATTAAATGAAGTCGTTACATGAATTATAAAACCCCTCATTAATGATTTAAATCTTCAAATCCAAATAAAGAGGTACCAAGAGTCAAGAGGGACAGCTTGATTCATTGCAGCTGTAGAAATATCTGAAATATATTTATGTGTAAATGATATATAAAATCAAAAGTAGGCTCTCTGCGTCCTTCAGTGTCTCACAGCTGGACGCAGCTGGTGGAGGCGGTGGAGGAGCAGAGGAGGAGGAGCAGTGAGGAGCTGAGGAGGGAGCTGAAGAGATGTGGAGTCTTTTACCTGAATGCTCGTGGAGAGATCGTAGCTCCTCACACAGTGGAGGTAAAAAAAATAATAAAAAAAACCTACAGGGCTCTATTTTCCACTCAGCACGACTAACAGACTCATTTATCATTAGCCTAAAACATGACCACCTGTGACACCATCACTTACACACTTCCCACTAGACCACCAGCGTCCCCTGAGCCCTGTTTTTAAAAAGACAGAATTTCACCATTAAAAAAAAAACCTGAATCTGTGGCCCATTCTGACACATCTGGCACAGCTATTGCAAGCTATTAAAGGATATGACACTCTGATTGGACAGGCCATCAAAGATCTTTGTCATGCATTTTAAACTAAGAATCCATTTCTGTAATGGATTTGTTGAAGAAAATTCGGACTATTTAATATCGGCTTCGACAAAGAATTGACCTTTTATTATTGTCAGTCATATTTCACACATGTAAGCATATATATGATAGTAGACTGTAGGAAATGAACAGTAATTGAGTAAGTGGGATGGAAGGAGCAACGTGCAAACATGCAACAAAGCACCTCAACTGGACCAAACCAGTTAGTGTAAATAAAAAAATCAGAGCCTCTAGGACAGGAGGACTCCTCATAAGAATTCCAAAAATAGCATTAAGGGCTGCATGTCGGTGCAAGGGTTAGCGATGTTGCCTCACAGCGAGATGGTTCTTGGTTCAAAATCATCCCCCTCGTTGTATAGGGCACTGTCTCTGTGAAGTTTGCATGTTCTACCTGTGCATACATGGGTTCCCTCTGGGTACCTCAGCTTCCTCCCACAGTCCAAAGACATGCTCGTTAGGTTAATTTGTGACTCTAGAATTGCTCTTAGGTGTGCATGTGAGCGTCAATGTCCGTCTGTCTCTATACGTCCGCCCTGTGATTTATTGGCGACTAGTCAAAGTTGCACCCTGGCTCTCGCCCAATGACAGCTGGGATTTGAGCCTTCCCTCTATTTGTATTCACATTAGAAGTGTTATTGACTTAATTGCTCCGAAATTCTGTTTAAAAAGGAAAACACAAGATAATTGTTGTTGTTGGATGATGAACAAGATTTGAGTTCTTGCTGTTTCTCCATGTTTCAACTGTGATGTCTGTTGTTCACTACCGATGTGGACCAAAGGACGAGAGGTTTGTAAGCTGTACTTTCTTTGTTTTGTCCGATCAGGCTACAGAAGTGAGCGGGAGGAAGAGGCGCGTGACAGCTGAGACTCTGGTGGTCGCTACAGGAGACAGACCTCAGTACCTGGGCGTACCTGGAGGCGCAGAGTTCTGCATCACCAGGTCAGAGTCTGATTCCAGCGGTGCCTCCTTTTTTATAGCAGGAGTCTGAACGATAATCACTTTCTCCTCTCACCTCCCAGTGAGGACCTGCTCTGCCTGCCTCGCCCTCCAGGTCGGACCCTGGTGGTGGGCGGGTCAGCAGAGGGGTTGGAGTGTGCCGGCTTCCTGTTCGGCCTCGGCGTGCAGGTCAGCGTCATGCTGCAGCCCGACGTGCTGCCGGGGTTCGATCGGAAAATGGCTCAGAAGATAGAAAACCACATGCTCGTTAGTGGAGTGGACTTCCTGTATCACTGCTCGCTGGACAAGGTACTGAGGGAGATGTAGACATCATGACAACAACTTCTTCATCTTTTTTTTTTTTTTTTTTACTAACACGGGTCTGTGTTGGTGTTAGGTGGAGCAGACTGAAGGTAGCAGTGATGACTTCACTTCAGGTATGTCAATGCATCTGTTGAAAGACATCAGCTATCACCTTTAAGATGATTCATTCATTCTTGTCATCACTCATACAGCCAGCTGTGTTCTTCTTCTTTAACATCTCATTATTTAAGGGAGAACACTATCCATGCTATTGTGGCACACTCACGCTAGGCAAAGCTGTCCTGTACCGAGCTGAATCACGATTGCCCCCCCACTCCCCATTCCCCCCGCTGCTCCTGCGCTCACACCGCTCCAGGACTAACCGGGCCTGAGCACGGTCACCAAGTACAGCTTAGAGAGTGTCAACTGTCTTTCCTCATATCTGCAAGGATGTTTGGTAGACTTGTTGCCTGCTCCAGTGTTATAGACGTCACAGATTAGTCTAGGTGGGTCAATGTGACACGACCCTGATAATGATCATGTCTTTTTGGATATATTCGATGCCTTTCGAAAAGTTCTGCAAATGTGATTGAGCAAGACACGAGTACAGAAGTGTGATGTTGAATCATGTCTCCTCATGAGTATTCATCTGATGTATAAACTTTCATCAACGTAAGCCGTCTGAGTCAACTGAGTCTTATTGTATAGAGTCAAGTCTTAGTAATTTCTTCAACACACATTGTGTACCCGCTTGCTCTTTCACACGTGCCAGGGCCGAGGGAGTGTAGGATGGCCTTAAGGAGTGCGCCCTAAGGTTAAATGAAAAAAGACAGAGTTTCTGTTGTTGATATGAGCGCTGTCTTACCTCACCTGCTCAAACTCTACATCTTTTCTTTTGGGGTTTTTACTCTTTCTGCTAATTAAATAAACGAAAAACTTTATGGTCATGTTTTCAAAAAGTTAAAAGCCTCTTAAGCGATAACGACGAGAGTATTATTCTGACCGTAAATCCCATGAAAAGGAAGTTTTGTGTGTGTTTCAATAGCCTGATATATCTTATTCCTTTGTGACGGAACTCCATTGTTATTAATTAATCCACCAATAAAAATAGTCCCAAACAACTTTACTATCTCCTGTTTTGAGAGCTCATCAAATGATCTTTTTCCTTTTGCAGAAACTCTGCAGCCGGTTTCCAGGAAGGCACTTCGAGTGACCTTCATCACTAAGGAAGGTCAAAGTGAACAAGAAGACTTTGATACAGTACGTCCTCTGTGTTTTGATTGTCTCTTCCTGCCGTGGTATCAATGAGAGCCGCCTCCATAGAGAGCTTTGTTAAAATCTTTAAAAAGCTGTGACACGGTTCTCTGAAAAGCCACCAGACTCCCCTGACAGAAACAATCATTCTAACTTGCATGTAGGAGTTGCTGGTCTACTGTTTTTCGTCATTTGTGTCATTTTGGGACTCAGTTTTATATGGATAAATCCAAAACAACATTTGTTTAACACAAGATAACGCAAAAAAAAAAGATATTGAGGCAGTGGGAGACCAGCCAGTCCTACTTCCTGCAGGGTGATCTAGCTGTTTTTGAAAACTGACATCTCCTTCCACAGATTAGATTTGTCTCTGTAGGGATCCTATCAGTGCATGTTTAACCATCTTTGTGTCTGCAGGTGCTGCTCGCTGTTGGAAAGAGGGCCTGCACCAGTGACATCGGCCTGGAGTGTGTCGGGGTTCAGAGCAGACAGGAGTGAGTTTCATGTGTCCACTTTTATTTTGTCTTTTGGTTTTCCCTCAGCAGGTTTTGATTAAGATTTTGTGTGTGTGTGTGTGTGTGTGTGTGTGTGTGTGTGTGTGTGTGTGTGTGTGTGTGTGTGTGTGTGTGTGTGTGTGTGTGTGTGTGTGTGTGTGTGTGTGTGTGTGTGTGTGTGTGTGTGTGTGTGTGTGTGTGCGCAGCAGTGGCAAAGTCCTGGTGAACGAGAGGGATCAGACCGGTGTCGATCATATTTATGCCATCGGCTCGGTGCAGCATGGGCGCCCCTCCACGACGGGCCTCTCAGTGCACGCTGGGACGCTGCTGGCCCGTCGACTCTACAGAGGAGACAGCATCTTGGTAGACACTTTATAAATAGTTACGCTCCCTTTTCTATTCTACATAAGTTTTATCTTAAAGCAGAAAGGAGTTGCTGGTCTTCCACTGCTGCAGAACAGCTAGTTTGTGTTATTTTGTGACTTTTATGTTTCATATTGTTAGTTTGGATACAACACAATGTATGTACAAAACAGAACGATGCAAAAACATATCGAATCAAACTTAAGACAACAAAAAAAGGGTGATATTGCTTCCAAAACTTTTTGTACCTTGGAGTCATTTATAGGGCTTTCACACTTGCATCTCTTTTTTTGCGTTTATTTTCAGGAGTGTAGGCGTGAAAACGGCTTTAGAGTCCAATCTATGTACGAATAGGGCCTGGGTTTGAAAATACTAAAAACCATTAAGTCTGGAAATGAATGTTGGTGTTTATTTAAGGTTTGTATGATTTATCTTTCACAGTGTGATTACACCAACGTGCCCACTGTTGTGCTCACTCCTCTGGAGTACGCTGCCTGTGGTCTCTCAGAGGAGAGAGCCAATCTGACATTTGGAGAAGACAGCGTCGAGGTGAACTTCACACCACACATACCATCACCTTCATGAGCGTGTCTATAATTTAAACAGGACTTTACTGCCTGTAGAATCATCCAAAAATGGAAATGTCTCTCCTGTGTGCAGGTGTATCACAGCTACTACTGGCCTCTGGAGTGGGAGCTTCCTGCCAGGAATAAAAACTCCTGCTACGTGAAAGTCATCTGCCACATCCCTGACCAGGCAGGTGTTTGTTATTAACGTCTTTAAAATGGAGAATGGATGAAATGACTGCATGATGTGACAGGTGATCTGATTGTCTCAATCAGTGTCTCGTGTGGTCAGCGCTCAGGAAACAGAAAGATGGGAGTTTAACTAGTAATGGTGATGCTTCACACAGCCTTTTTGTACATCTATTGTTCTCTAAGGGATGTGTTTGAAACATGGCGGATTGTGAAAGTCACTCAAATTTAAAACCTCAGGTCACCAAGACAAATAAGGAGGTTTTTGAGCGACACATCTCACAGCGCTGCTCAATACTGTCCCAGACTGACGTCATTAATGGTGAAATTGAGGATAATAGATCTCCTTTAAATGCAGATATGATGCATATTTTACCTTCACCTTCACAGTGTGAGGATCAATGGAAAAACAGTCTTTTTTTTTTTTGTGGATTTACTGGTTAGTGTGTATTGCACATTGCTGCATGATCAATGATTAGGTCTCATTATATCTCTGCAGACAAGAAGAGCGACTGTAGCAACAGATGATCTGAAGGCCAACACAGACATGAAGCGTAAAGCCTCAGATGAAACTTAGACATACTCATGTTTACTCCCTGGAGGTGTTTAGTCATAATGTCACACATCAAGACGTTTATTCCTCCTCCCTCTTTTTTAAAAATATTTTTAGCTCATTGCGCAATCGTCCTGGCACCTCTGGAGATGACGGCATTTCCAGAGCGCGTCTCCGCCGAGCTGCTGATAACCGTGTTAATCAATGTTCTCTGCTCATCAGCGCTAATGATCTGTGTGTGAATTACCTCGAATGTGATCCCTCAGACGTTTTACGTGCAACTTCATTCCCCGCGTGCAGTTAGTGGTCATGATTGAGATACACGGCAGCTCTCATTAACACCAAGGCAGCTTTTTCATACCACTTCTGTTTTTTTCGTGGGTTTTCATTTGTTTTAGAGTAGATGGAGCACTGAGGAGTTGACACTTTTAAAATCATGCTAGTTTTTTGGAAATTACCAAACCCCTGCCTTTAAACTCCTTCACTTGAGGCAAGAATTCCCTCCTCACCCAGAGGGAGAAATACTTTTTTTTTTTCCCGGGGTGAACCATGACCTGGGACTTTGAGGTTTCTGACCCTCATCCCAGCCGCTTCACACTGGGCTGCAAACCGCCCCGACGCCTGCTGGAAGTCAATCACTACAACAATCAATCAAATGATGTAGCGCCAAATCACATCAAAAGCATTCTCAGGACTCTTTGTGAAATTATTTCAAGAGAACCAACATTAATTCACCATGTGCTTGGAAACACCTGGCAATAAAACAACAACCTGACTCAGTGATGAACGACCATTTGCCTCTAATGGATACTCCGAATTTAGAGCTAATTCTAACACTGCTTCTTCTCGACAGGAGCGAGTGCTCGGTCTCCACGTCATGGGCCCCAACGCTGGAGATGTCCTCCAAGGCTTCGTTGCAGCCATGAAATGCGGTCTCACTAAAGAACAGCTGGACGCCACAGTCGGAATCCACCCCGGGTCGGCCCAGGTTGGTGTTTGAAATGTATTGCTTTTCACTTAATGGCTTTTAAGGCTGCTTCTGGCACCTATTGATTCCCCCCCCCCCCACCTCACTAATAATATCAGCTCGTCGTCACTGGCTTGATTTGCTGTCACGGTCGGTTTTCAGTCTCTCTGCGCTGAGAGGTCCGTTATGAGCGATCGTCATGTTCAGTCCTTGAAAAAGCTCAGCAGTCTGGGGTCAATGCCAGAGCAGCACATTCAAATGAGTTTCCTCCGTCTGAATAATTCATGGACCATATTTAATAAACCTTGTCGCTCACAGTCTGCCGGCCTGTGGAGACTGACCTCTCAGAACACGAGCGGGTTAATGCTTGACATTTTCAAACTTAATTAATCGAGCATTCAATGGGGTGTTAAGTAGAGGTCGCTGGTCCTGGCGATAAGAGTGGGGGCGTTGGAGATATTGGTTAATGGCTGGTCAAAGATCCCTGTTGGGTTGATTGATTCAATGGATTGATTGCCCTGCAGGGAAAGGATCCTGTAATTATGAGACCGTCTGTTCAGATTTCAAACTAGCAGTCATTTTTTTCAGCGTCGCGTTTTGAACGTTGCTGCAGGCTGGGACAAACGTGGTTTTGCACCACGGTTGCTGATTGTTTTTCTTTACAAAATACAACCATGTGCTGACTGCAGGACCGCTCTTAAGGCCCTGTCACGCCAAGGAGATCGTCCACCGTCGGTCCTAGTTGGACCATCGGTGAGAGACGGTCGCTCTGGTTTTTTGCAGTGTGTCCAGCTCCGTCACTCTGATTGTTCAGCTAATTGAATCGAGAAGGAAAAACAGAAGTGACCAAAGCAAGTAAACAACTACAGTCAGGAGGCGACTTTTTATCAGACATTGTTCTCGAGTAGAAGTTCCTCAGATTACGAGTGGTGAGCGACAGACGCGTTAAAAATGGTTTTCTCGTATCATAACGACGGTTCATACAGTATATCCACATTATTCGCCGTCCTCTTCCTCTTCCTCTTTCCCCTTTTTGGAATGACAGGCAGCTAGTTAGGAATCACAATGAAGTGCCCCAACCTTCAGAACTTAATTTAAAAGGTTAAAAGTCTTGGCTTTTGGTTCGACGTTTTCTTGCTGAAACTAAGAATCTGTTTTAAAGTACTCGAGGGCAAAGTGATTTTTCTAACCTTCTCAACTTCAGCAGGACAGTACAGTCTCCTAAACTGTTTCCGTGTACTCATAAACCTTCTGTCCTTCTCCTCTCTGCTCAGGTGCTCACCTCTCTGACCCAAACCCAGCGGATGTCTGAGGCCTTGATGGTGAGGGGCAACTGCTGAGGTTAGCCCCCCCCCACTGCTGTCAATCAGACAGCAGGGGCGATCTGCAATCACCCTGCAGAGCGACGGCAGCAGGATGGTCACCTGACCCTCTGATGACATCCTCACCTGAAGCCTCAGTGACAGGCGGGCGAGGACCGATGCTCTGCTGCCCACACGCTTCCTCTTCGTGTGTGTGTGTGTGTGTGTGTGTGTGTGTGTGTGTGTGTGTGTGTGTGTGTGTGTGTGTGTGTGTGTGTGTGTGTGTGTGTGTGTGTGTGTGTGCACATTTTTTAGGTTTGTGTGCATTTTGTATGAATGGTTTTCTTCGAGGATTACTTTGACATATACAGTACTTTTAATGCATTTTAATGGCTCTTAACTATAAAGCAGTGAAGACGCTCCCTGAGGTTCTGGCCCTGAAAGCCCCTGTAAGCTTTAGCTGACTTTTTTTAAAGGCTGCAGGAGAACGATAAGACTCTGGGGTTTGATGCATTTACATGCAGCCGAAGCTCAGACTTATACGCTGTGTTTTTATTGCTCTGGTTGAGCCTCGGGGGTTTTACAGCCTTAATTTCATGTAATGAACTAGACAGGGGGATTATGGAATTACCCAAATTAATAGTGTTTATCTGTGAATCCTCGGCTTTAATGATGCATTTGGTGCGTCTACTGCGACATTAGGCCAGAGTTCCTGACGCTCTCCCTTGTTTGCGTTCTCTCTTTTATATTCTCTCTCTCTGATTCAGAGCCGCCAAGCAAAGCAGCGCTCTTCAAACAACTGTTGAATATTCATGCCGAGTCATTAAGTGAAGTGTCTCATACAAATGAGTGCAGGGACAGGAGTGCAGATATTTTAAAAAGGCATGCCGCTGACCCTTCCCGAGTTTCCCGCGCCAACCTCTGCCCTGCACTCTGCATTCAAATCAGAAAATGTTGGTCTGTGAGCGAGCAACATGGGTGTGCCCCCCCCCCGCGCGCGCGCGCAAAGGGCGTCATTCTCATTCTCCGGGTGTATCTGCAACGCGCTCCCATCCGTTCCATGTTAATGTCCCCACTGTCATGCTTTGTGTGTCGTTTCCCGACGAACACTGCAGCTACCAGATGCAAATTTTTCTCAAGATCTACCCTCCAGACCACCTTCTGGTTCTCTCCCTGACAGAGCCGCTTGTGCAAGGAAGACAGATCTCTTAATTAGAACAAGTGCACAGGACTGTGTCTCTTCTGGCATGTGCCTGAAAATGCCATTAGAGCATAATTCGATCAAAGCGGAGAAGCTTCGGTGACTTTGTGCGAGTTTCGCGGCAAGGTTAAGATGCCGCAGGAGAGCTCTATCTATCACTGCCTGCTGAGCTTGGACGGAGTTCAGGAGTCTCTGCTGACCTCTGTGCAGTACCAGCGGCTACCACTAGATGGCACTGCAGCTGTATGTGGAGGAGGTAGATACACTTAACTGTACTGGAGAGACAAGAATAAAATGATACAAAGATGTGTTGGTTGAAAAAGCGTATCTTTTTTCTTCTACGACTATAATGCCTACAACTGCAATTCATCTCTGTGTTTTATCATCTTTTAGAGACCCAACATGAATCCACCAAGAGCACAGCACCAAGCACCAAGCAACATCTAGCAAAGATAGAGCAGGGGAAAAAAAACGTCCTTTTCTTCAGGCAGACTCATGTTGAACAGACATCTGCTGAGAAGGTGGGAGAGGGAGATGCAGGAAGAAAGAGAAGAATAGAGACAAACAGTAACAACAGCTTATACAGATTTATTTCTGTCACCCACCAATCACTCACTGTTACTACGAGTATCATTAGTGTCCCAGATAGTGTTACTGTGACTCAAAGTTTACTCCAGTGCTGCTGGTGTCACTCCCAAATCTCAGGGTTTGAATAAATGTTAGGATGATTTTGTAAAAGTGTTTTCTCACAAATAAACATCGAAAAAGCTTGTACGAGAATTATTTTCAGCTGTAACTTTTTTTTAAATATTACAGTTGGCTTTAGGTTGACTGGAGCTTCTAATATGTTTTTTTTTAAATGATGGTGCATACTTTTTTAAAAAAATTTGAGCAGTAAATCACTAATCTCCTGGAGATTTGAGGCTCTTTCACTGAAATATGGAGATACTCAGATCTTTTAAGTAAGTGAAGTGTCATTGAAGTAAAAGTAGAACATGTTTTTAGAACATTAAGGTGTCTGATGATTGTGTTTACCCTGACCACGTGCACGGATCGTTTGATGATGTATCCACCTGATGATGGACACGCCCACCCTCCTCAGCCACACCTGTGACAGTGACCCCTCTGCTGATCTGTTCGTGTGGGAGCTGGCTCCTGACATGAAGACTCGTAAGTAGACGCTGGCAGGCGTTTATAGCTCAAATAGTAAAGTTTTTTTTTTTAATTTTCAAGAAGGAGTGTGCTCAGAAACTTCTGCTTCTGGCTAATTGACCACTAAGCAGATCACGTGTCTAACCTGTCCTGTTATTGGCTGTATGTATTTTTAATACTCAAATTTTCTTGGGTCTAGTCACATTTTAACTTTAGTGTCTGAGTTCATATTTGTATTTTTTTTGTTAATCTTTTGAGTGCTAAAGAATATTGAACTTCTAGACAGTTGTCTAAAATGAATTTTTAAAGCACTTCCTTTTCAATTTTACAGATAGTAAATAGTTTACAGTTTAGTCCAAGTACGCATAAAGCAAGAAAACCTCTAGCTGTGTCAAGGTTAGTGATAATAAAGCAGCTATTTAAGGATTTTTTTTTTTAGGTTTTATTTGCAGTTTACAGCTTGAGCAGAAGCGCACATCTGGACGCGCTCATTTCCTCCAATCGGGGGGTGCCATCATGCCGTCTCTCTCCTCCCCCCCCCCCCCCCTCCCCCCTCCAGCTTCCCCAGCAGTGGTACGCTCCGTGCTGGATGCGTTCAGCTCATTGACCGGCAGACAATCCTCATCAGTACCAGCAGAGCGCACGGACCCTCCAACAAACCGGCCCTTCGTTCCCCCCACAGCGCGAGCGCCCTGCAGCCTGCAGCCTGTCCGTCCTCCCCGACATGAAACAGACTCTGAGCGAACTAATGAGGATGAGCAGGATATGCCGGATGGTTTTTGCCACCTGTTTGGGATCCTTTATTCTGGTCATCTTTTATTTCCAAAGTATGTTCCAACCAGGTAGGATCCTCTCCTTTCTTCTCTCTCGGGTGTGTGTGTGTGGGGTGTGTGGCATCTTGCCTCCTGGCATGTGGACACATCGATCTATTCGTTGTACAGTATCGCAGCTGATGAATAATTAATGCTGTGCAGGAGTACACAGTCTCTAATCGATCTGTTTGGGGACACCTTTACGCGTCTTTGGATTAATTGTCTTGTTGCGCTTTTTGTCCGGGCTTTGTCGCGCGGTCCTGTCTCTGTGTAAGTGTGTTTGTTGAGCCTTTGGGTGTGTTTGGATGTGGAGCAAGCCGGCGCCCCACGCTCGCTCGCTTCCTCCTCTCAGCTGACAAGTGGCACGGAGATGGTGAGGGAGGCTTTTTGTCTCCGGAAACGTGGCTTTCTGGCGATGGGATCGGGTGCTCGGCCGGCAGTGGGGCTTGGCAACGTGGGGAAACTCGCAGGCTGAAGCGATCCAAATGAGATCCACACAAGAGGTTCCAGGATGAGACAAAGACAGAGCTTATAATGGGGAAATCAATTTTGTAGTCCTTATCTAAAAATAAATCCTCTTTAGGGAGCGTTTAGGATCGATGTCCTCTCTTATCCGCGCGCGTTAAGAGACGCGTTAAATAATTCATCACACAATAAAGGAAATCCTCTTCATGCCAGCAGGGGGGTCCCGGGGGAGAACTTGAATCACATTATGTTAAATAAGTGGATCTGATATGTTGCTTTGCCAAATCCTACCCCCCCCCCCTTTAATGAATCACCGCCCCTTCCATGTGAGACCCGCGCGGCGTACAGCAGCGTCTCTGGTGCGCTGACACCGAAGCGTTCGGACGTGCAGAGGAGGAGCGCAGCGGCCGTGCGGCGGTGTTGACTCAGTGCTGCTGACCTGCAGTACAACAGGTTTACTGTACGGTGCAAAAGGGGGAAAAAATGTCTCAGGGTATTTGCTTTCCATGAACAGAAACATGAATCATTCCCGAGCAGAGATGATAATCCCATAATGCTGCAGCTGGAGACAGAGAGTCTGATGTGCTCAGAGGATGATATTATGGATGGACATGCAACATCTTTAATGGTTTTATGATACACCAGGTTCCAGTAAATTGATATTTCTGCTTCCATAGATGCTTTAATAATTTTCTATAAGCTAAAAGAACCAGTGAGAGGACATAAGGGACTGTTACTTGTAGAAGCAGAAACAAAGTGAGTGATTGATGGGGCTGCAGGGATAACAGAGAGATGAAACATGAAGATACTGGAGCTTTGTGCAGGAGCATGAAATCTCAGCAGTCACTCTGTCACCTCTCAGACCAGGAGGCATTTCTCTCTCTGAGTCACCGGTGTTTCTGCTGGCGGCGACGGACAAACAGATGTTCTCAACGCACAGATAGCAAATCAATACGATGCACCTATTGATGACTTAGGTCACAACATAAACTTTTTTTTTTCTCCTTTCTGATCACTCATTAATATTTGGAAAGGGTTCAGAGCTTCTCCTTTTTTTGCATGTCAGCAGCTGCTCAACAAATCAATACCTGGACCACATTCAGCCCGTCTGTATTTGTTGACATTGGCTTTGCTGCAGACTCCACCACTGTTTGTGTTGACAGAGAAATAACAACAAACTCCCCCCCGTCCTCTTTACATTTCATTAAATGTTATTAAAATCACACACATAGAGACACTTTGTGAAAAGGTAACTCTTAAAATCCACTTAGCAAATCCACACATGAGCAAATACAGACACTGTTATGTGTACTTAAAGAAATGCATCATACATCTTCCTACACAGAGAGTAAACTTCATATATTTGGGTCAGTTTATCAAGACGTCAAGCAGAGCAGCAGAGAGGGTAAGACACCAAAAATCACATTTACAGTCAGTCAGCTGCTGAGTATTTGAGATAAAGTATCAGTCTGTGAGATCTCGGATTGTAACCCAGTTAAATCAGGGCGTGTGTGGAGCTTTAAGATTTCTTAAAAAGTAGGTTAAAATTCTCCTCTGTGTGTATGTAAGAAAGTGGATTCGGCCACTATGACGACATTGATGCGTTTGTAGACGGTTTCGTTGCCTCCAGTTTGTCATTTTTGGCTGTTGCAAAGTGACCAAATGAGATGGTTGAGCCCGGAGAGCTTCTAAAGTGCGCCATCTACTGGACATCTACTCTGAAAGTCGCATATCATAACTTGAAGCACACCCTGCTTTATCGTCTGTTTGACCCTTAATGGGACCATATTATAAGAAATGAACATCAGGCTGTGATGAAGAAGAATTAAAGCTCAGATCGAGACCATGAACTTATCAGGATGGGAATAAATCAACTGGAGAAGTACGACCATATTCTCATAGACTTCAATACCATCAGACTTTTTCTTTTTTTTTTTAACCCTCTGCTGGTCATGAGAAAGATTGCAGCAGATTTTTATAAAACTTCCTTTACTGTCTTCAGTGTTGAAAGCAATAGTTGAACTTGTGACAGTGGATATCTTAGGATCCTTTACAAACAAGAGGAGATGGTTGGATATATTGAAATCCAAAATAAGAAAAACTTTTCTCAGAGATGTTGTGCAGACTCAGAGTGAGACCTCCTCTCTTCTCTACATCATTAAAGCGGCTTTGTAGGACGGATCGGTTGGACGAAATTAAAGCATTAAACCCCTGTGAAGGACCCCTGGATCCTGATCTCACAGTCCTGTCCATCCCTGCAGGCGATGCGTCAACTTCTTCTGCTGCTCGACACCCACACATACACCCACACACACAACCACCTACTCACACACACACACAGTACACACATACACATCCAGCTACACACACACACACACACACACACACGGGTCACACGATGGATGTTTTATTTAGTTGTGGAGATGACAGGGTGCAACAGCAGGCTCTGATTGAAGAGATATCTGAAGCTTTGTGTTTGTGCAGGAGCTGGGATGTGTGTGTTTATGCAGGATGACACAGGTGAGATTTATGTTCTTAAGAGGTGTGTGTGTGTGTTTGTGTGTGTGTGTGTGTGTGTGTATGTGTGTTTGATTTCCGCTAAAACCCGTTTTCGTATCTGTCTCTCGATCTGTTTACCTTCTTTTGAAATGAAATGACGTCAGCGCTTCTTCATAAGCCCCTATTTTGAATTTGTGGCGCCACTTTCGCTCTCCCTTTCTAGCAATCGCAAGCACACACACATGCGCGCACACACACACACACACACACACACACACACACACAAACTTGCAAATACGCACGCACACACACAAGGCAGAGCCATTGTTGTCTTAAAGAAGACGTTCCAGGCAGCGTCTCCTTGCTTCAGGCATGTTTAGCCAGCCTGGGAATTCTGTCTGGCCTCCCAGTGTAAACTCTCACCTCTCTTCCAGGACTCACGGGGTCGTGACCTCTTGTAAAAGTGACACAGGAGGAATGAAAGGGGGGGCGGGGGGGTTAGTAGTAACACACTGTGGCTTTAACTCACACACACCACAGAAGTTTTAAACCTTTAGTATGTGGAAAAATAACTTTTAAAAAAAAATATTCAATTTTGACCCCTGAGAAGCGGCACACAGAGAGTGTGAAACTCTCCATGACTCGATTTTGACTTCTCGTACTCCGTGTAACTCAGCAGCTCCTCCATCTGTTGTGAACCCCCGAGAGCGAACAGACCTGAAGAGACACGGAGTACAGGAGCGTTAGCCTGCGGCGTTTAGTTTCACATCATGCCAACTTTGAATCTGGTTGGAGTGTTTTGCCGGTTTTTAGTCAAAGCAACTGAAAGCGGGGTTTGGAATATTTTTCTCCTGCTCAGAGTTCAGCTTGGCTTTCTGTACCTGTGTGATACAGGAATTGCTGTTTTCATTTTTTCTATGTATATTGTATCTGTCCCTATCAAATAAATAACTTTTGGATACCATGTCATACAAGACAAAACAGTCTCTATTATTTTAATGGTCTAAAGTACTTGCAAGGACAGGAACTTTTAAAGACCATCCGTTATATGTCAACCTAAATCTCTTGTAAGCAGAAGAGGGAGATCTGTGGACAGATTTGAAAAAAAAAACGTCAGCAAATCCTGACATTTCAGGTGTCCAAGTTACATTAATGTCTCCAACGAACAGGCAGAGAGCAGAGAAGGCAGGGACGTGTCCAGACTTTGTCACTGGGGGGGGGGGTGCCCAACAGAGGCACTGACATATGCAAGGGTGGCCTGTAGTGTGATGTGCAGCACAAACACACAAATAAATTAGAATTATTAGTTACATAGAAGTTCATGCAAACTCCTGCACAGTCTAACTTGCAAAGTTTTGGTCCCGACACACTGCCAGGTATTTCTTTGCGAGTAAGACAGAGTGCGTTACTTTCCTATGAACCTGCCTTACTAAATAAATCTGCCTAAAAGTTTAATTCACAGTTTAAGTACAAGCAAAAGAAAATATGCTACATTGATGAAGAAAAAAACTTGCAGCCTTTTCAAAGAAAAAGTGACTAATAGTTGGTTTTAACATAAGTCCCGCCTCTGACAGGTCAAATAGCCAATCAAAGTTTAGGGTGTTTGGGGTGGCCAATCATATTCTAGGGAGGCCCATGCCCACCCCTGCTTACCCCTCTGGACACGCCCCTTGAGAGGAGGGGACATTTTCTAAACCGCACCTTATTGTAAATACTTGCTGCTGTTTTTTATCCTGCGCTACAACGAGCCAAATGCAACGGAATTTTGTTCTTATCTGCACTGTAAAGTACAAGTTTGAATGACAATAAAGAAAGTCTCTAAGTTAGCTTGCAATTTATGGTGATTACCTAGTATTAGGTGCCTAGTATTTCTGGGATTTCTGTTGCCGTGGTAGCGGATCAAGTATCGATTTCATCTGCTTTTTACAAGAATCATATCACAATTTTTAAAATCCTGTTACGGTGACAACCCAAGTGTCAATCTCTGCCGAAACCAACTGTATGCTTAAGCTTCAGCCCAGTTTTCCACCACAGACCGGTGACTCGGGGCGAATCCTGTCATCATA